TGGCCACCGGTCTGTGAGGCTCTGCATTTTAATTTAATTTTAAATGAAGTTTCTTAAACATTTTACTTTACTTTTACTTTACATACAATAGTTTAGTTATATATTATAGACTTAAAGAAAGAGATCTTCTAAAAATGTTAAAATGTATTACTGGCACGTGAAACCTTAAATTAGAGTGAATAAATAAAGACTCGGCACACCACTTCTGAAAGGTTGCCGACCCCTGGCATAGCTGAAGTCGACATATCTTAGGTCGACTTACCTTGCGTCCTCACGGCGCGGGATCGACGGCCGCGGCTCCCCCGTCAACTCCGCTTCCACCTCTCGCTCTGGTGGAGATCCAGAGTCAACGGGGAGCGTGTTTGGGGAATCGATTTATCGCGTCTAGATGAGATGCGATAAATCGATCCCTGATCGATTACTATCCGCTGATCCGGAGGGTGGTGAAGACATTACCCTTAATCTCCCTTGCTGCAATTTAAGCCCATTACTTCTTGTCCTGTCCTCGGTGGATGAGAACAATTTATCACCCTCTTTATAACCACCTTTTACATACTTGAAGATTGCTATCATATCCTCTCACTCCTCTCTTCTCCATACTAAGTGAATCCAATTTATCAATCTTTCCTCATAGGTCACGTTGTCTAGACCTTTAATAATTTTTGTTGCTCTCCTCTGGACTTTCTCCAATTTGTCCACATCTTTCCCAAAGTGTGGTGCTCAGATCTGGACACAGTACTCCAGTTGAGGCCTTACCAGTGCTGAATAATAGAGAATTACTTCTTGTGTCTTGCTTAAAATGCTCCTGCTGATATGTCCCAGAATTATGTTCACTTTTTTGCAACAGTATTACATTATTGACTCATATTTAGTCCCCAAGTAATCCCCAAGTTCTCTTCTGCAGTACTCCTTCCTATACAATCATGTCCCGTTTTGTATTCCTGCAATTGATTATTCCTTCCTAAGTGTAGTACTTTGTATTTGTCCGTACTGAATTTCATCCGATTTACTTCAGACCATTTCTCCAGTTTGTCAAGAAATTTTGAATTATCCTGTCCTTCAAAGTGCTTGCAACCCCTCAGAACTTGGTATCATCCCCAAAGTTTATATGTGTATTCTCTATGCCTTTATCCAAATCATTTATGAAAATAGAGAAGTGGACCCAGGACAGATTTCTGCAGGATCCCACTCGATACGCCCTTCCCGCTTGACTGTGAACTATTGATAACTACTCTGTGAGTACAGCTTTCCAATCAGTTGTGCACTCACTTTATAGTAGATTAATCTAGACTGTATTTCTCTAGTTTGCTTATGGGGGGTCACAAAAGACTGTTTAAAAAAGTGTAAGTTACTAAAGTCAACATAAATCACATCTACTACTTCTCCCTTATCCACAAGGCATGTTACCCTGTCAAGGGTAGAAGGTTGGTTTGAAATTTGTTAACAAATCTATGTTGACTATGTTATCATCTTATTATCTACTAGGTGCTTACAAATTGTTTGATTATTTGCTCCATTATCTTTCTGAGTACTAAGGTGACTGGTCTACGATTCCCTGGGTTGTCTTTATTGGTCTTTTTATATATAGGTCCTGTTTTTGCCCTTTTCCAGTCCTCTGGGATCTCTCCTATCTCTACGAGTTCTCAAAAATAATTGATAATGGCTCAGAGGTCTCTTCAGCCAGTTCCTTAAGTATTCTAGGATGTATTTCATCAGGCCCTACTGACCGAAGACATCTAACTTGTCTAAGTAATTCTCAACCCAGTTAAATTATGTATGTTTGACATAGTCTGGAAGTACTATAAAAAAGGATTTGATACTGCAACAACTCAGCTAAAATGTGTTTTGGATGAGGTCTTAATCAGGGTCTGCCAGTTCTGTGTGGATGTTAAGGGTCCCAAAGTACAGAGATGAGGATTTTGGTTGGTTGGTCTAAAGCAAAATTTCCCCCCTTCTTCCTGTTGTGATACGTGTCAGGTAGATATCAATTTTCACTCCAAAACGGATGATCTTCTCTATTTCTGTGCACATATATCAATTGTTGATACTTTGGAATTTTTCAAGATGAATGCTTTATGTAACTTAACATTACATAAAATGCATTAAATCAAACTATGAAAAAAGGGTGGTGTAGAATGGGGGGAAAAAAATCACAAAAAATCTTGGTCTGGTCGCACTTGCACAGTGCAGCAACTAGCAGGTGTATCTTAACTCACGTTGAAAATGAAGGTGGGTTTTTGGTCTTTTTTTTTTAACACAACTACATGTGGTGGGGAAAGAGAGGAAAATTAAGGTTTGCAATGTTTTTACCTGTGTTGGTCCCGGGATCTGAGACAGAGTGGGTGAGGCAATATCAAGACCTGATGAAGAGCTGTGTACCCCAAAAGCTTATCTCTTTCACCAACAGAAGTTGGTCCTATAAAAGGCATTACCTCACCCACCTTGGCTCTAGAAAAAGTAATGAAAGAAGAGTGAGGAGAGACAAGGTCAACTAACCAGAACAAATACAAAGAAGACCAGGTTATAGGATTTGATAGAGCTCTAGGTGAACGATTCCTATCTGAATTATTTTTTGGCCACATGAATTTGTGAGAGACATGAAGTTGCCCAGGAATAAGACTCTACATTTACTACTAATTAGATGTCTGTGTATAACAAAACACAGAAGTTGATAAATCTAGAATCAAGTGTTGTTTGTCCAACTAAGAAATGAAAAAGGACAAATCTCTTCCTAATGGAAGAGTAAACATGTAGATCCATTTATTCAATTGTCATATACACAATCAGGCCTTTTCTGAGGGTGTAGTTATTCAGGAACAACTATGCCAGAATAACACCATGTGTAGAAAACCCCTGAGGATTTTTAAAAAGCTTATTTTAGCTATATTTTTTGGTGTGGTTATGGGAAGCAGTCCAAATGTTTAATATTCATGACTTATTATAGATTTTATAATCTCTTTGATAGAAAATTTTCCCCTACTGGTAAACCTTTGCTATCTCAAAATCTTAAGTGATGTGTTAACATGGGTTATTTTCCCTAATCAAGTAACTTATTAAATGGCTTTGAAACTACAGGTACACCTCTACCCCATAGAACGTGACCCGATATAACATGAATTCAGATATAAGGCGGTAAAGAGGGGGGAGCCCCAAGCCTTTTAAAGTGCCACCCGAGCCCCGCTGCTTTACTGCATTGTATCCAAATTTGTATGGAGCTCCGGCAACTTTAAATCCCCACCCAAGCCTGGCTGCTGGAGCCCGGCGGTGATTTAAAGGGCCTGGGGCTCCCCATAGCAGCTGGAGCACCGGGCCCTTTAAATTCCCGCCGGGACTCTGGCAGCCGGGCTTGGGCGGTGATTTAAAGGGCTAGAGGCTCCAGCTGCTGTGGGGAGCCCCGGGCCCTTTAAATCTCCACCTAAGCCCTGCTGCCAGAGCTCCGGCGGTGATTTAAAGGGCCCGGGGCTCCTCGTAGAGGCTGGAGAACCGGGCCCTTTAAATCACGGCTGGGGAAGCCAGTCCAAGCCAGCATGGCGTACCAGCTCTTGCCGGTATGCCGTACCAGACTGAACCAAATATAATGCGGTCTCACCTATAAGGCGGTGAGATTTTTTGGCTCCCGGAGACTGCGTTACATTGGGGTAGAGGTGTAGTTAAAAATTAGTTCCTTTCTCTCATTTGTTTGAAGGATCAAAAATGAGATTTTCAATCTTTTAAAATTGAAATGCTTGTTTAAAATAACTGTACATAATAACTCGAGACAAGTGTGTGCCTACAAGAGTTGGTAAAAACCTAATAAACACTCACTAGCATATTTATTACCACTTCAATTTAAAGTTTTTAAGAGCTGAATGTTGACGGTGGAAATAGGATCCTATTATCTGAATTTCTAAAACCTTTGCCAAGAAACGAAAGGTAAAGAAAATACAATTAAGATAGGAGACATTTGTGAAGAATCAGGGTGGGTTAGGAGGGCCTTCTCTTCTTCCCCTTTCATTGTTAGTCAATTTCCACTTGAGAAGCTGTCTTACTTCACCTTAATCCACAAGTGCCAGCAGCCAGAATAGGGACAGAACAGACACGGTCCCTTTGCAAAGCAGCTCTTGCTATAGGGCTCATCTCCCCTGTCACTGTTGTTAATGTCAAGGGAAGATTAAAGTCTGGCGCTGGCCCCCATTAGCGGGTACAGGAGGACCAGCCAAGCTGGAGTCCCTGAACAGGTAGGGGCTACATCCCAAAAGGGCCGGTAAGAAAAGGCCGTGGCCCAAAGCGTTGCAGTTGAGAGGAGCCAGGCTGGGGTTCCCCCCCCCCGTGTGCGTGAGGGTGCTGAGCCCATGCGTAGGAGGGACCAAGCTCCAGCCTGCGTGGGGGAGGGGAAGCCAAAGTGGGTCTCCCCCCCGGAGGTGCCCGGCGCGGGGGTCAGGGTGCTGAGCCCGTGAGTGGACGGGGTTTAGGCTGAGGCTGTTCCCTGTGTGTGTGTGGGGGGGGGGGGGGACAGCCCAGGGCTCTCCCCGGTGTGTGTGGAGCGACAGGCTGATGCTCTACACTGCATGCGGCAGGGATCGGCTGCTGAGCTGGGAGCATCACTGGCCCCGGGACGGAGCAGGCTTGTGCCCCCCATTATAGCACCAGGTGGCCCATGGGGCTGGCAGGAAAACTACTAGCCTCCTCTCTGCGAGCGCGTCCGCCCCGGCTGGATGAATAAGGGAAGCCGCAGGCTTCTGCCCGCCAGACCGAGCCCAACGCTCGGAGTCCCTGAAGCGGTGCTAACTACCGTCTGCCTCCCCGGACTCTGCGGGGAAATGGCGCCCAGCTCGCTGGCTCCCTCTCTGACGCACAGGCGCCTCACTGGCCGTGATACAAAATGGCGTCGGTGGCGGCCCCGAACCCAGCATAGCTGAGAGGCCGTGGCGCGGGGAACAGAGCCCGCGGCGCGTAGCCAATCGGGGTTGGCGTTGGGCCTCCGGCGACCAATGAAGTGCGCGGGCGGCGGTTTCTGGTGCCGGCTGTCCAATGGCGGCTCGGCAAATGCTGGTTGCGGGGCCCGCCCGCACGGCTCTGGGCGGCGCTGGAGCGGGCGGGCGCTGAGGCGGCCGTTTCCTGTCCTGGTGCATGGTGGTCGGACGGAGGAATTGTTGGAAAATTTCTCGGCGAGGTTAGTATATAAATGTGTTTTTACCCAGTGTGCCTTATTCTACCCACCGCCATCTCCGGCTGGGGCCGCCTCGCCGACCCGCCGGGCCCGGCCCAGCCCCTGCGCGCCGCGCGCGGGGAAGCGGAGCGGGGCAGCCAGCGAGCGGGGGCAGCGGGGCAGCGCCGACTGACATTAATAAAGCCGCGGTTCTGCCGCCCGCCCGCCTTGTACATTTTCCTCCCCTCCCCCATCCTGCTTTCCACAGCCGCCGCCTCAGCTGCACCAGTTTCCTCCCCGCTGGCGCCGCCGCCTCGGGATGCCGCTCGGGGCCGACGCCGCTACGGAGCTCCATGACAAACACGCGGCTGGGGCGCGGGGAGGTGGCTAGGCCGGAGCGGCTCCCGCCCGTGCTCCGCGGGACAGGGGCTGAGCGCCGCCGCTCCCCGGGGGTTTGCCCTGGCCCGCGCCTCTGGCGTGCTGCGTCACTCAGGGAGTGGGGTCGCTCCCCTGTCCGGGGCTGGGTCCGGGCGGGGTGTCGGCTCTCCAGCGCACGCTGCAGCAGCTGCTTTCCCTTGCGCGCCGCTCTGCCTCGCGGGCAGGTGTCCCGCCGGCGCCGCCCCTAGCCGCAGATGCGGGGGCAGAGGAGGCGCCCATCGCACATGCCTCGGACTTTGTTTGTATTGCGATGCAGGCCCGGTAGTGGTGGTCATGCTCAAGGGACTTGTTGCAAACACCTTGTTTGCTTGTTTTTGTTTTACTGTTGCCGTGTCTAAGGGATGGAGTCTCCCTAGTCCCCGTGACTTTTAATTGCCTTTGCAAAAGTTACCTTCAGCAAATAAAATTTTGCAGGTTTTTTTTTGGGGGGGGGTGTTAATTGCTACCATATGTAAAGGGGATTTATCCAGCTTGCTTCAGTTGCCCTTTCTTAAAAATGACTTGCACCTGGAGCTAATTTGGAAGTTAAGTCACTTTTAGGAGGGTTGCTGCAGTGGCAGTGAAGGAGGGAATTCTTAAATCTGTCAATGACACAAACAGTACTCCATGCTTAAGAAGGAAAGATTTACAAAAGAGCATTAAAGGGAATCACCCCGTGAAGGGGTCTCCCGCATTGAAGAGCGTTGGGAAGCCTCTCCTTCGTGGAGAAGATGCTGTTCTGTCAGTAGTATTTATAGCGTCATAAGCATACATACTGCTTCACTAACGCAAGATGAGGTCCCTGCATTGTGTCAGATAAACTAAAATAGACTTTCTCTGCTCATAAAAATAACATACAGCTATGTTTTTAAAAGAGCATTACCTCTCTTTTCTTAGTACTTTCTTCTGTCCAGAATGTGTAGTAGCATATATACAGTTAGAAGATCCAACTATAGAAAAAAACATTTTTACAATAGATTACAATATATTTTCACAATTAAGCTGCTTTATGATTTTGTTAAGAGGGATCATCTTGTGAAAATTAAGGCTTTTTTAGAAAACCTAGCAGTTTTCCGTGTTCTATATACAAAATCTATTGTGGCTTACAATTTTAGAATATTGCAAATTTTAAATCTTTAATAACTTGTGAAGTGTGACATACTTCTCAAAAGATTCCTTTTATGGAATTTGTTTTCTTTTTAAAAATTGTAAATAAAATACTTTTCTAGGATATTTCTCAAAATGTTGGTTTCAATGTTCTAAATCTCCCATTGAATTAGAGGAGTTTTTGTCATGTTGTTTCAAGTAGATAATAGACAGTTAAATTTATTTATCTTAAATAGTTTGTCTCCCAGGAGTACAGGAATATGCATTTTGTGCATCTGCATAAATGAGTCTTTGGTTATCAAGATCTACTTTTAGAATTTCTAAGGTACAATAAAACAAGTCTCTAAGGTGCCACAAGTCCTCCTGTTCTTCTTTTTAATAAAACAAGCGTGCTTTAATGGTTTAGCTTTTTAGATTTCATTTTAATCATTTAATTCTGTGAGGGCTTAATCCTCCAAGACTTTCACATTTTCTAGAGCAATAAGAATTTTGAGTATTATTTTCACAGCAGAGTTTTTCAACTTAATCAGTAAAGAAAATAAAACTATTTACTTAAGATGATGCAGTGAAATACTATAAATTCATGTTAATTAAAGGATACCATATAGATAATTTTAATGTTTTACTTAGTTTATTTTACTGATGAGCACCATCCCCAGAGTTTATTGCAGTCCATCTAAGTTGCCTTTCTGATAGTTGTGGAATAACATTTTACTTTTAACAGACTATCTAAAGAATTATTATTCTGGATTAGTTTATAAAGTAATACACATGCTTAAGTGTTCACTTAATAATGGGAGTATGCTTTATCACAGGAATAATCTTGTAGGTTTCATTGGGTCTACTCACGTTTGATTTAGTGTGCATGTGTGTATCTGTAGAATCTGAATACTTCATAAACATTAATTTATTTTCATAATACCCTGGTGAGGTGAAGTGGTAATATATCTGTTTTATAGCTGGGGAACTGAGGCTCAAAGAGATTAAGGTCAAAAGCATTCACTAATTTTGGGTGTCCAAACTGAGATGTCGCGGATCTGATTTTTCAGAGTACTCAGCATTACATAGCTCGTTATTTGTCCAAAGTACAGCTGTCTGGGTATGTCTATGCTCCAGCCCAAGTCCAAACATCTGTATTGCACTTAAGCAGACCCTTAGTGTGAGCCCCGTAAGTCTGAGTCAGCTGGCGTGCGCCAACCACACGTTTTTAATTGCACTGTAGACATGCCCTTATTGACTTGCCTTGTAATTGTGGGTGCTCAGCACTTTTGCACATCAGACTTCAGGGATTCAGACTGGATATCCAGACAAAGAGGAACACATAATTAGTGACAACTTGTGAGAAGTTTGGTTTAGGTGGCTTGCCCAATGTTAGTTATCATTGGCTCCCAGTTTCTCTTGTCCAGCCAGTCCCAGCCTCTCTCTCCAGCTGCTCCTAGTCTCTTCCCCTCCCTGCTGGCACCCAGTCTCTCCCCTTCCAGTCTAATATCTCTGCCTAGCTACTTTCAGGTTTCAGAGTAGCAGCCGTGTTAGTCTGTATCCGCAAAAAGAACAGGAGTACTTGTGGCACCTTAGAGACTAACAAATTTATTAGAGCATAAGCTTTCGTGGACTACAGCCCACTTC